TTGATGCCTAAATAATGGCCCATTAATCTGGTTGAAAACATTTGCAATTAAAATATTAAGAAACTGGTCAGTAATGCAATAAACCAATACAAAATATATTGAGGACTGATTGATTTAGGTCATTTTCTACCAGGGGCCAACACACAAATTTTTGTGTAATTCTTTAACCATTAAAATAAATAAACTAAACAACAAAACTTGAAATAGAATTATTTATATAAATAATTTTACACACACTTTAACTTTATTCAATTAATGCAAAAATAACTCTTTTAGATACATAACAAAACTAATAAACTGCTTTCCTGGAGTTCACATTAATTTACAAGTTACTCTCTAGCACTTCTGGGCAGTTTATTTGCTTTGTTATATTATTCAATCAACTAATTAAATCCTTTGCTTAACATTAGTATAAAAACATTTCCTTATCCTGAAATATTCTTATGATTCTGTCAAATTTTGAAAATTAATTATAAGAATAAAATTAGAAAGTGTACTCTATAGCTGCTGTGTTTAAGTCCGTTTCTTTCTTATCTTGAAAGATTAGTGACAAATATTTTTCACTAGAAGAAAAGTTTGACACCTTAGAATTAAATTGCTATTTGCACAACAGAAAAATTCACCAAAAGAACATTACTGTCAACACAATTTTTGTACCTCTTTCTGCTCTTCACCAATGATTCATTCTGTATAAAGTAAGGTTTAAAATCAAAACATTAAACATAATAAATATAAAAATTCAATAGAAAATATTATATTATTAACTGCGATTTGCAAGCCACATGCAGGTCTTCAAGAAGACCCTTACTGCATCTCTGATATACAGTATTTAATTATCATAATTAAATACAAATATAAACAACCCGAACAAAACCCTGATACATTTCAGATTCTTTTCTTCCAGTTTAATTTAAAATTATTTAATTAAATTATAACTATTAAATTTAATACAATATGGCACCTAATGCCTCCCTCAAGTCAAATTTATTTGTAATTTATTATTATAGCTGTTATATAGCCAATGTCATACAACAGTTGTTGGTACTTTATCATAATTAAGTATACCTAAATACACATCCATTACATAAAATATAGTTTCAATAGAGAATGTGGCTCTTGTGTTTCTTATAGGTGATATATGATTCCTATCATGACAAGGTTTGGCCAGCCCTGCTATAGTTTAAAATATTAAGCAGAAAATCCAAAATTATAACGACATTATTTTTAGTTTTGATTTCATTAGCAAAATAGCAAATAAACTACGGCTGCTGTGTAAATAAAATATAGCTCTAGCTTGACTGTGCAATCATTTTAAATATAGTCCCATATAATTATTTTTAGTCATCAAATTCACTTTATAGCAATAAAAAGAATAATGAATCTATATCTTATTAAGATGACAATTATTGCATCACATGTCTTACTCACCAAGTTCTCTGAAATGATGTCATTATATAAAAATAAGGAATAAATATCAAGAATTTATAAGCTTTCAGGATACAAATTCAAATAGGAGTGACTAATAAGACATTCCTATTTGAATTTGTATCTTGCATGATAAAATATTATTTATTTCATCTTGATAAATGCTAATGTCAATTATAGCATAAATGTTGTTTTCGGAAAATTGCCATGATAGATAAATAAATCTTCAGCGCATAAAGGATTTTTCACATTTTCTAAAAACAAACTCTCTTAGTGACTTTAGGTAAAGGAAAAGCTGTTTGATAAGCTTGTAATTACAATTTAAAATTGACATGTAACCAACTCATCTCATCACATAATATGTACCCACTTTTAAACTGTTTTTTAAACACACAATTTGCAGGTTTAGTTTACAAAACTACAGTATTGGTTATTCATTGTAATATAAAACTAATATGGAAAAGTGATACCAGAATTTTGTCAAATTTTCAGGATAACAAATTGGAAATAACTCTGGTAAAGTAGTTTCTATTAAAAACACAGTAGAATCTGCTTATTGTAATCACATATAGTGTTATCAGTTGTTCTAATGTTATTGTAATTAGCATACTTCAGAACATATAAACGAAAATTCATTTATTGCACTTTGTGTTTGTAGTATTTTAGTTAGTTATTATCTTCAAGTAAATAGGCATTTTTAAGCTAATTTTCACATTATTAGCCTCAATGTGGACTGAAAAGTCACTCAATAATTATCAATCTTACTGATCATTTTATACATTAAACACTTTAATCATTATTTGCTCAGCATACAGTTATTTAAATAACACCCTGATAGAAAGCTTAAAATGCAGTGATATTTTTACTTAAACTTATGTTTTTCCACACAACAGCTCAGAAATACTTTATTATGCAACATCTGTTGTAATTCTTTAACATGCAGAGGTTTCATAGTATATAAAATGTTCCAGTGTTGCTTGATTATTTATAATTATCAGCACTTAATTTACTTTATAAACAGTAAAATGGGTTCTATAAGGTAGAATAAAATGCTGTAAGTTGAAACACAATCCAATAAGAATAATAGCCAAATTCTTTTCTTGAAATATGATTAATTTCCATTTGTTCACATTTTTTTCAAATATTGTAAATCGAATATAGATTTACAATATTTGAAAAAATGTGAACAAATGGAAATTAATCATAAATAATAAATCGAATATAGATTTACAATATTTGAAAAATTCTCAGTGACATTAAATAATATCTTATGCATTATTGATATAAATAAAACCAATTCGCTTTGTTTACATTTACCAATTTAAATTTACACAATGCTTTCTATACTTCACTGAAACTGCCATTAGACACAAAACTGCTCTATAGTTAGAGACATTGTATTCATTGAGCAATTAAACATCAGTAAAATTTCAATATAAATACAGCCTTACTTAGCAGCAGATTTACTAATGATAATATTTAGCCTTAGAAGTAGATTTTCTTTTTTAATTGTAGATTCTGATAAGGAAACAAAATTACTTGGGAAAAAAACAGTAAGGATAAATATCATAGATGAACAATTCTCTTAACATAAATCTCTTGATCCAGCAAATGTTATAGAAAAACAGCCATCTAAAATGGCCATTATCAGGTTCTAGAATAAGAATATAATTAAAATTTACTTTTACTACCATTTTAATTATGTTATTCTAGAACTTGATGTTGGTCATTAAAGATAGCTGAAAATATTTGTTTTTCTGTAATCTTTGCTGGGTTAAAAAGGATTCTGCTATAAATGAAAAGGAATAAATATACTTACACTTCAACCTTATTTGTTCAGAAATTATGCCTTAACAAATTTTTAAGGAATCAATTAAACATAATTTTTGCACCTTACATTTGTTTGTTCGTTGTTTTCACAAATAATGCCATGTTAAGAATTTATATTTGGTAATACTTTAGAGCAATTCAGAACTTCAATTCTTATTACATTTCAATTACAAGTATCCATGCTCAAAGCAGGATTCAAACAAGCAATCTGGAAAGCTAGAAACAACACCTTAATCTATTCTTTCAAACTAGCAAATAATATATTAACTTATTACATAATTATGAAATTAATATTTATAAGAATAATTTGTCTCCATGTGACAATTTAACAAAAACAAAAATTTATACAATTTATTTTGCAATTCATCAAATGAAATTCTTTTAATTTATTTTATATTTGTAAATGTTTAAAATGCATTTAATTTACTTTCCAATCTTAATCTAGAAATTTTATAAAATTATTATTTTTTCTTCAATTTGTAAAGGAATACAGAAGCATTACCTTCGTAAATGCTTTTACAATAGTTTTACAACACGGTTCTAGCTCCGATTGAGGCAGTTGGGATCTTAGCAACAAAGATCATGTACATAGGAGTAAAAAAGTCAAAAGGAACTAATAGTCTACATGTAACTCTTCACAAGCATAAAGTTTATTAACACACAATTGGCTTAATGGAGTGTGCAGTATGATACCGACTGCACTCTGGAAGTAGTCAGTGCAATGGATTTTCTCATATTTTGAGCTTTTAGCTATGTAGTAAAGTGGAAAACAATTTACTTTTTTCACTTTTTTGAGAAATAGTTCCAGAGTTTTCACTTTTACATTTTACCCCATTTTTGAGGGTCTTCAAAATTCCAGATAGGCTGATTTCTGGGGATCTATCTCACAAAGGTTCATAGGTACACCATTCATTCCTTTGACTTTTTTACTCCTACAGGCATGGTCAATGGCTCTGTTAAAGTCCCAACCACCTCATTCAGAGTTAGAATCGTACATTTTTCTTAACATCTACTTTACATTTTATTAACATAAATAAAAATAACAACTTTACATATGTTATTAATTAAATATATTTTGTTTCTTACAGTAAATGTTTAATCTGTTATTTATAAAAACATGAAACTGAAGAATAATAGCACTGATTTAACATTCTGTTTATATAATTTACATTATATAACAGCTCAACAATGATCAATAAGAATTCCTTCCTCAAATTTAACTAACTGAACTTCATATCTAAAAATAAGCAGGAAATATACAATTAAACAGCCAAAACACAAACACTTCAACAACATAAATCAAATTTTTCCAGACATTTCTTGAATACAGTTCCAATAAGTCTTTAATTAAATCACCGATATAATTCGAATCTAGAAGTATGTTACGTTTCCATCTCGTATCAAAAGACACATCAATTGTTATATATATATATACATATTGCTGGTACACTGAAAAATCCATTCTAAAATCTGGGCATCACGAAATAAAAATGTGCCTAAATCACACAAGGCCGCATTTCAAACCGAAACATACACGACCTCGTGCAAAACGCTCCAGCTGGTAACACCGTACTATTATTCGTAAACACATTTATCGCAGAACAGTTTTAACTAGGATATTATTAAAATCGGTGTCTTACACGCAGTAGCATATTGCATGTACCCTCTTACTCTTACGCTCATTCCGACAATGAAGTAATCATCAATAATGCAAGATCATCATCATCCAAATTAAGCCTATTTACCTGTATATCTTGCTCAACTTTAACCATATTCCAATCATCACATTCCGCTTTGATATTCCTGCATACTTCCTCAAACTCCAACTCTTGCTTTATCTCGATATCATTATCCCAAACGGGTTCTTTCTTAATGCTAAACGGCGCATCTTTATCGAATTCTGTAACGTTAAAAAAGCCATTAAGTAATCGAAGGTTGTTTTCCTCCCTCCACGTGAGGAAATCGAATAATTAAATCGAAATTAATCAATTTCATGCGCAAATCGGCATTTAATTATATACACTTACTATCTTTTGATTCGAAGTTCATCTCCTGTCTCCCTCTTACGAGCACCCTTTCTCATTCAAAATTAGGCAATGCTTTTAATGGATAGAAATTGTATGTAGTCCACGTCACGTGAATTAACTATTCTTTGTTAAATTAACGTTTTAAACACCAATTAATGCTTTGTTTCGCAAATAAAATATTTGAATTGCCACACGTGAAAGAGATAGCGCAATTCAACTCTATACACAGTTTTGGCGCCACCTGAAGGAAAAACATAAACATCACCTAAGCGAACGTAATTTGATTTATTTTTCCGGCAAATTTTAAAATTATTTCTCCGTCGGTTATTTATTATATTTACCTTTCGATGATTCGATTGTGTTACATATTTTATAATTACACGTCGTATTAGTAAATTTAGTAACGTGCGTACGGCATCGTTACTCGTACTCGCTGAGCTAAATAAAAGGTAGAATGAGGACACCCACTTGACCTACTTTCCGAAATATTTGCACCGTCGATACCTACTTGCCGATATATCTTCGTTATTTTCTATCGCAGATTTAATAAATTATTTCTGCACTCCACCATGTTTAATCCTATACATTTATTTTCCTTTTATATATATATATACACACATATATAAATAAATTTAATAATTACGAAACCAATTGCGCTAGTGCGTGATAACAATCGACGATCAATCGGATAAATTTTGTAAAAATAAATAATATTAAAATCTAACTTAAAACTTTGATCTAATAAAAATTCTTTCTGTAAATAAATACGTAAATAATAGTATATTGTTATATATGAGAATTTCGTCTTTTTAAATGAAATTTGTTTAGCTTTTTTTTTCCTTTATACTGATTTTTCGGTTTTCCGAGATGGCAAAATTCCTTTTTATTTAGTCCAAAAAAATTTTTATAGCAGGAAAATCGGGTGTTTGATAAAGCCGATACAAACCGCTGCGTAATTTTTTGGAGCGGCCGTCCTGGTCGCCCGTGCGTAACGGCATCGTTTTAATTAAGAGCTTTCAATTACTAGGGTACGTCAGGAAAATTACACGTTTTCGTAACGATGCAATGGATGTTTCCTACATGACTCGAAGAACTTACAAAGTACTTCGAGTCGTATTTATTATTCAAACCGCAGTCATCAATCAGAAAACATCCATATACACAGGCCTATATACATATACACGTATTAAAATTACAACCTAAAAAATTAATTTTATGTTAAATGAAAATTCAAAACAAAGAAAAGAATCATACTTTAAGTAGGAATTTGAATATTTTTTTTTTTCGTGAATTTATTTGAAATTCTAGTTTTGTACTGTGTTTATTTTCGTCTTTACGAATTTAAAACATTTCACATAATTATTTTAAAAAAAAATTGAATGGAAATAGTAATAAGTCTGTTCGCATTTGACCTCTTAGCTAACTACTCGTCGTAAAAATAATCGTTTCTGGTAAATGCCTCAGCTCTACTCTTGCGTAATTGCCTTCTGTAATGATGTTCTTCCTAGATCATCCAAGATAAAGGTGATGTTAATTGTGAATCAGAAGCTAAACCGGATCCTTCTGATGAAACATGAACTTGTTATCCGAACCATCATCAGATTATATATATATATATATATATATACACTGTACTTAATGATCGAAGTTAGGATAATGAAAATGACGCATTATTCGTTTAAAAATTACACAAAATTATGTCATAAAAATATTAGTCGTATTACTGCAAAAATATGTGTGTTCTTTCAGGTTTATTTTGTTCTGTTTAGTTACAACTTAGCCTAATATAAGAACTGGAGAAAACGAGACGTGGAAAAAATTAAAGCCAATCATCAGTACTTAAATTTTATCTTTTTAATGCAAAATTGCTGTTTATAAGTGTATCTTTACGGATGAGTCTGGGCCTCAATGAATTTGATACGAGTGTAGTTCGTTATTAGTAATTACCAATTCTGAAATAAAGTGATTAACTCCAGTTTGATAAGCAATGCTAGAAAACAATTGTGTTAAAATATTGATAAAGGAAGAAAAGAGAACTTCGACTATAAAATATTGTGATCAATTATGTCAAAAGTTCTTGACAAATCGATAACGTAGTAAACTCTGTCGAATTTTTTTTTAGCCGAAACGAGTTGCAAAATCCCGAGATCCAAGTTGCATATTACATCCCACATCTTTACTTGCTATGAAAGCACCCTGACTAAAAGAAATAACACGAAAATGCTCGAGTCAAAGCCTGAAACGAGTTAGTCAGTAATCAGAAAAAAAAAAATTCTCTTAAATTTTATAAAACGAATATTTAAAATGTTAAAATTTATTATATTATCTATTAATTCCGAGTTTGTAATGATTAAGTTAATAACAGATGCATCCAAAAAAGAACTAAACGTAAAATTGTAACGTAGGATCAGTGAAGATCTTATTGCCGTTCCTTCCCAACTCCGTCTGATTGAGTTGTTTTCTTGTGTTTCACGACTCGATGTAATGAATCAGGTTCGTCGGAAAGTACACCTCCACACTCAAATTGAATATATTTACAGTAGTAGAAAGTACAAGTTGGAAAACATAGTACATGTACAAGATGACCATGCCTGGTGAATTCACGTGCCAGATTGGCGTCTGGGAACTAATAACCTTTGGAGAGAGACCTCAGTCAGCTTGTGGAGTCGGCTCAACTGCACGGTCGGTCCGGTCTCAGCACTAACCCGTCTCTGAGAAGATCAACAGAGGAGAACACTCTCTTTACGCTCAGCGGGCTTTCCAGTGTGCCTGAGACAACCGTGTATCAGTCTCTTGCCCTTCTCTTCTTGACTCTCGTTCGCCCCGCAATTTAAGGGATTTTGGAACGGGAACTTCCGACCAATCACAACCCTTTTTTTATGCCCGAACAGCTTACACTCAGGTCCGCCGTCATCCGACGAGAGTGAAGCTTACACAAACGTCCGCCACTTGTTTACGTTCGTTTGTTTACAATATGATAAATGTCCGTGAAAAATAAATTACGTTTTTTAACTTTTCCATCTTTTGTACATTTGTTGAACAAATTTAATTATTAAATTTTGCTGATGGAGATGCTGCTCATGTAAGAAAACCATTCGTTATAGAAGTTCCTTATAAATTTATTTAAATATATACGTTCAATATTGTAAAAAAACGGAAAAAGCAAGTGAGAGATGCAGCTATAGAGCAGGATATCGTCCTAAATATTTCAAATTCAACGTAAATTTATTCCCTTTGTAACCACTCATGTTTTATAAAATGTGAACTATTTGTATCTCACAGCTTTAAAATATATCTTTTTTGTCCCAAATACTTCTTTATATATTTACAGTGTTCTTTCATTCCTATTCTTTTGTAACAGATAAGATATTCCCCTAACAAATTCTTATTCTCATTTTGCATTGTTAAATTCGGCTAACGCCCACTGAATACGATAACAAGATTAATTTTCACTTTCCCGTATGATACATAACAGAGGAAAAGTGTGACGATCGGTAAAAAAATGACCCTCCACCGAAGATTGGGACCACTTGTAAATTGAGGAGACCTTGAAAGACCTTGAAACGTCAACAAATGCAAAAAAGTTTGAGTTTTTCTATACCTATCAATGTTACTATGTGCGTGGGCACACGATTTTGTTTATCCAAGTTGAAGCTTAATAACTCACGTCCTTTTTGTCGAAAATTTCTGAAATTTTGCAGAGAGATTTGCATATTAGGGTGGTTGATACTGTTAAATTTTGGTGATTAAAGGTCCAATAGTTATAGGGGAATAGAGGGGATCATGTGTATGGTGTCTGGAGTGGGGTTGAACTTAAGGACGATTTTACTCGTTTAAAATTGTTTATAAAATCCATCTCTAGTTTTAAAATTAAGATTTCTGTCATTTATAATAATTAACAATATTAAAAGCTTTAAAAAATATTTTAATTATTGCCGGGAAAGTTACACAAATCGTTGTCGGATTTTTTAAATTCAAATTATAATTACTTTTACCTTTTTATAATTAAATCTTTCGTTATTATATATTTTAGAAAATTAATTTAAAAATATTTACAAAAAATTATCGAATGTAATAAATTTGTTCGATGATAAATAATGAATTACAAACTTATAAATAATTAAATTTTCTATTCAGTTAATTGGATAGTAGTGTGATTAGTTCCGCCCACATTTATCACTCCAGCCAATGAACGTAAAGAAAACTCTGAAACTTTAAAGGATCGTAGCTTTTTCACTAATACGGGACATAAATACTTTATATCAAGAAATTTTAACGATTTTAGCATAATTTTCTCTGAAATCTTTCGCTTTTATGTAACTCTTCTATGCGGCTTATAATAATACGTTCGATCTCAAAATTTAATCGATCGATATTCATAAAACGTTGCTATTTTCCATTAATTTCAACGAGGAGTCTAAAAAATGTAATGGGGGCCAATTTAAATAGCTTTATACATTCAGTATAAAGCTATTTAAATACACAATATTGAATATTTTAATGGCATTTAATGATATTTTACTAATAGTAATTATGCATTTCGAGGAATTTTAAGTATTTTATTTTATGTATCTTTTCTCCATCAAAAATTACTTTCTGTTTATTAATTAATGAATTAATTTAGAGTATACTTATCTTTATGAAAGTAAATATTTGATAAAAGATAACTTAATGCAACTTAATTTAAACCAAATTACCTGAAGCTATTATTTTAAATGGAATGTTATTATATAAGTTGGTGTAATGTCGTTTTGTTTGGCATTAAACTTCCGTAGAATAATCTATAAATAATTTAAAATTATTAACTGCTCTTGGAGTATTTTAATTAACATATTAATTTACTCATTTCTATGAAATTAAAGCTTTAAATTTTAGAAAATCAGGATAACATTATAAGGCACTAATTTAGAAAAAAAAGTAAGTAATGCCGAGGATTTTTAAGATTTACATGGTATTATTTTAAACACAGTTGAAGATAATTTATGATACTCAAGACAGACATAAACATAAGCTTAATCTTTAGTAAATTCTTCATTAACAGAAGCAGAAATTATATAAAATGAGATTACAACTAAGTCCTCGTTGTAACTATACCATGAGCAATTTTCGCTTAACTCTTACTTTGTGTTAAAGTTTCAGTTTAAATTAACATCACCCTTAATCTTCTATACATTATAAACAGAATTCTGTCATCCATATTCATTTCTACACCTAACTACAACAGCTTAAGTTGTTCATTGAGCTTTGAACTTGGTTAAATAGATTTATTTTCTTGTCGAGAATGGTCAGAATCTCTCTGGAGGAAATGATTTTAATAAGTTAAAACATTATTTAAATGGTCGAAATTGTTATAACAATAAGGATAACAATGCATTTTAATGATAATTGAGTATTAAATAAGCGTTAGAAAGATCCTTACTTGCACTATCTTCGAAAAACGTATCGAATCAAATATTAGCTAATTTCTCACAAAATTTAAAGAATTTCTTCGAGTTTTTAAGAAATTCACTTGCACGTAGCGGCAGAATACTTATAAACATGTTAAAAATAACAATACTTTATAAGGTTTCTTAATTAAAATCTATATGTGTTGCTAGAGGCTGGCTAAATCAGATGGGCGCATGTAATTTTCTCAGAATTAAAATGAAATTAATGCAAATTTTCAATTCTTTTTCCTAGAAAATAAATAACTAAATATTGTTAAATAATGAAAATTAATTACCCTCATAAGAAATAATTAATAATTTAGAAAACAAATGTAATTTTACAGACAATTTTGATATTTTCTTTCTTTATTTCAAAATAAATTTCTAGTTTAATTAACTTCATATTTTATAAGAGAATTTATTTTGTCCTCTTGAGTCAACAACTATCTGGAAACTGGGTAATCACTAGAGAAAAACTCATTGTAAATTGGAAGAAAGCAATTAAAACAATTATTTTTCTTATTTAATAATATATTAAGTTGTATAGAATTTTTTAAAAAAATTTAAATATCTGATAAAACTACATTCTTTTTAAAATTTCAATCTAGAAATTAATTAAACTAATTATTAGTGAAGTAGAAGGAAAATCAATTACAGTACAAGAAAACTCTAAAATTGATTGAAAAATAAGAAATAATGCCTTCAAAATGCCTAAATATCCAAAAATTTTATAAATATTAGTGTTTTATTTTTTGAAATTTAAAAAATTACTTTTAAAATTATTAAAATAATAATAAAATTAATTTTTTTTCAGAATCTCCAGTGAAAATGCTTGTTTTTCTTTTTCCTTTCTCCTTTCTTCGTCTCTCATTCTTTCTTCTTCTTCTGCTCTCCATCTTTTTCTTCTTCTTTCTTTCTTTTATCATTATCATATTCTCCTTCTTTCTTTCTTTCTTTTCTTCTTCTTCTATCCAACTTCCTTATCATCTTCTTCTTTTTTATCTTTCCTTTCTTCTTCTTCTATCCAACTTTCTTCATCATCTTCTTCTTCTTTTTCATCTTTCCTTTCTTCTTCTTCTATCCAACTTTCTTCATCATCTTCTTCTTTTTCATTTTTCCTTTCTTCTTCTTCTATCCAACTTTCTTCATCATCTTCTTCTTTTTCATTTTTCCTTTCTTCTTCTTCTATCCAACTTTCTTCATCATCTTCTTCTTTTTCATTTTTCCTTTCTTCTTCTTCTATCCAACTTTCTTCATCATCTTCTTCTTTTTCATTTTTCCTTTCTTCTTCTTCTATCCAACTTTCTTCATCATCTTCTTCTTTTTCATTTTTCCTTTCTTCTTCTTCTATCCAACTTTCTTCATCATCTTCTTCTTTTTCATTTTTCCTTTCTTCTTCTTCTATCCAACTTTCTTCATCATCTTCTTCTTTTTCATTTTTCCTTTCTTCTTCTTCTATCCAACTTTCTTCATCATCTTCTTCTTTTTCATTTTTCCTTTCTTCTTCTTCTATCCAACTTTCTTCATCATCTTCTTCTTTTTCATTTTTCCTTTCTTCTTCTTCTATCCAACTTTCTTCATCATCTTCTTCTTTTTCATTTTTCCTTTCTTCTTCTTCTATCCAACTTTCTTCATCATCTTCTTCTTTTTCATTTTTCCTTTCTTCTTCTTCTATCCAACTTTCTTCATCATCTTCTTCTTTTTCATTTTTCCTTTCTTCTTCTTCTATCCAACTTTCTTCATC